GCGATGTTCACTGATTCGCCGCAGGAAAAGTCCGAGTTCGTAACCTGTTCTGTAACACACTCCAGGCCGGCATTTCACACACTCTGGCTACCACTCGCCGGGCACCACTCTTATAGCCCGCCCGGGCTGAAGGTCCGCCGGCCAGCTGCCCGATAAGGTGGGTTCTCTGGTTCCGGGACTTGGCCGAGCGTGACGGTGATGCGGCGTTAGTAATCGGCGCCTTCTCTTGAGCGGCGCCGGAACCATTTTCCGGCGGCAACTTTAAAGGTGCGCGTTCGACCATATCAAAAACTCCAAACAAATCCTGGCCTGCCAGGTTGGAGGTTGGGCTATGGGACAACACTCCATTCCCTCACTCTCCGTACAAAATGAAAGGAATTATTGTAAAACTTTTTAAATGTCTCATTGATCGAGGAGAAATTCACCAAGCATGGAAAAAAGCAAAAAATTATTCCTATTTATAAAAAAGACAATAAATAAAAAATTGAAAACTACAGTTGCATTATTGTTAAAAGGTCAATTAGAAGACTGTATGGGCGAATAATTAAAGGAAGAATCGAGTCAGAGATAGAAAATCTGGAAAAACAAAGCGGTTTTACGGCTGGCCGTTTCATGTGTAGATAACTTTTTCTGCATCCAAACATATTTTGAAAAAAGGAAATCCTGTGGAAGTGATTCTTATTTATTATTTGTTGACCTCACGAAAAATCATATGACAACTTTCCCATTAGCAGACATTTTAAATTTTAGAACAAAAATGTAATTTGAAATTAGTTAACACCATTAACTAAATGTACAAATACAGTAAAGGTGTGAAAGTAAACGTACGAATATAAGATGATGTTAATTTCTTAAGGATTAAGGCAGGGGTCCTGTATGCTCCGACTCTTTTTAACATGTTCATTGCCGAAGCTCTGAGTGAATTGAGGAAATGCAAATTAGATAATCAACACTGGATGTTCTACTTTTTGAGGATGATCTAGTCATCATGGCTTAGGATGAGCAAGAGCACTATATGTTTAGAAACGTTAAGCAGGAATTTGAAATATGGCGATTGCAAATAAACGTGTCCAAAACCACGTATATGATAACAGAAGAATATGTAAATTATATGTATATTGAAAATGATAAAATTCAATAATGTGATAATTTTAAATATTTGAGTTTCACAGTTTAAAATATGGCACATGTAATAATGGTATTAATAATATGATAAATCAAGGAAAACGAGTCATAAATATACCAAACCCAATTCTGTGGAACTCCCAGCTAGCAAAGAAAACAAAGAAAAATATATGCAGTAGAATTTATAGAAAATATTTTCACATTTGGCTCGGAAGTAAAAACAAAAAAAGATTGACGATTCAAATGGACTTTTTGTAACGAAGTTGCAGAATATCTCGTTTACACCACCTACTCAATGAAGAAATAAAAGAGAAAATGGAAATTCGAAAGAATATAATAGATATTGTAGAACGAAAACTGCTTCAGTGGTACGGACATCTGCTGAGAATGCCAGACTAGAGGTGGCCCAAACAAGAATATAAATGGATACCTTCATACAGAAGACGATGGGGCAGACCATCCACTAAAAGGACACAAGGAATACTGACTGCGATGGCAACAATAAATTTGACAGAGGAAGATGTAGTGGATAGAGAAGACAGGAAAAGAGGAACCAAGAAACATCACCAGATGTAAAACACTCATGTATATATTTATAGTATATACAGTATTTATTAGAGTCATGTCCGACGGAACTCATTTAGCTCATTTAGCAAAGTCTCATCCGATTAATTCTCGGTTGGAAGAAATAGGTTTTAAAATGCTTTTAATTTGTTTTATATTTTCAAGAATTATACATCCTTTTTACTGTTTCAACCTTATTATATGGATACCTACGGATAATTACGTTCCCGCCAAATTTATTATTTGAAGAGTGCTTAGCTATTTAGTGGTAAAATACACACTGTTATTGGTAGACGTAAACTATACTTGCACGCATACATTTTTATTAACTGAAGTAAAGGGAAACAAATACTTCATTTGGCCTGTAATGGAGGGATAAAAATGTGTAATTTGTTTTTCGTATATTCTCTCTCCCTCATAAACCGCTGTAAAACCTAAATAATAAACTTGTGACACTGAATGTTTTTGTATTTTAAAGCAAAGAACGATTGAAAAAAGTATACTCAAATATAGTGTGTAAATTTTATTAACCTATAATACAGATGATAATGTTTTTTTACTTATCTATTTTAATGCACATCACCGCAGGTTCTTGTACAAATATGCGCCACGTATTAACATTTGCAAGCCACTTGTTAGCATTTGCCCCAAAAGTTATTCTTCCATTTTTTTCATATTCTGTTTTTCTGATTTCGTACAAGCATTCGTACAGGTAGGTCTTAAAAGTTGGAAATGTAACCGTTTTATCCTATAACATACTTCGTCATAGTTTCTCTAATTTTTAAAAGCTGAAAATAAACATTAAAACTAAACAAAAGTTAGTGTACATTTTCCTATGATAGAGGGAGTAAAAGAGAAAATGCGAGGAAAAGAGAAAAAGAATGAAAGAGAGAGAGAGATGAAGCAAGAGAGGGATCGTAAGTGCAGAAACACTAGAAAAAATAATTAAAATTCTGCCGGTTATAGGAATGTACTAATTAAAATGCCACGAATGTTTATCTATCCCTGAAGATAACACATTGGAAAAATACCTAATGGAATTTTAATGGTATTTTAATGACTTACCTGTATACCGGAGGACAGTGTCACTCAGAAATTGACGGACTTATATTGTAACATTAACTATGGTATTAACTACATTAGCTGTTATCGATTTTTCAGATTTATATATTCTTATTATTAACTACAAATTTGAAGAAAATGTTTTAGGACACAGAAGTCAAGCTTTTCTACCTACTATACACGACAAATGATTAAAGTATGACGATTCACTTCAAATACGTAGTGAGTAAGTGTTATTTCATGTCACTCTTCAAATATCTGCTTACACACAGATACACAAGCAGAATGCATCATAATCGACCAAAATAATTGTACGTTTCAGTACGAGATATAACGTTTTGAGAAGTCCCAAAAGCTATGGGAGTGGAGCTGGCATTGTGCGTGGTTGGTGAATTAAGTCGCACGGACTTATATTTTAAAAATAAAGTAATTCAAATGAGTTTTCGTAATACGGTTGGAGTGTCCAACACCCAATCAAAGCTGACCACCGCCTGAAGGTGCGTTTCAGGCTGCTCCCTCCATATGAACGCTGATGCGTTAAAATTACATTACGTAATACAAAAAAAAGTGGGACATAAGAACCGCGTGGGCTCCTTCTTTTCTCTAAGATCATACTTGGAACCCTGAAAAGGGCTTATCTCTAATGATGTAATGAACCAACTGATGATAGGTCAAAAACCATCTACTTGAAGAGTTAGGGAATTATAAAAATAAACGATGCTGGGTTCAAAACAAATGTCACTATAGGTAAACAAAATGGTTTTAATAATTTTTCGGTCCCCGAGAAAGTAGTTTTTGTGTTCATTTTTATTCAATTGAAGTAATTTCCTAAGATATGTATTTGTGAAAAGAATAGCTTAACAGACGAAGGGATAGGACGTAATCTAAAAAGATAAAGTATAATCTATTTCGAAATGCAATCAAAAGTTTCAGGAAGTATTACCTAGATTGATCGCAACTCCAGTTGGTTCAGGAGTAATGAGAAACTTCCCAGATAAATTCCGCCAGTCAACCCCGTATTGATCGATACACAACTCAGCCGCAATCTTTACTTAACTTGCTTGTGGGCATAATGAGCATCCGTGCTGGAGTCCCAAGTCTATCTTCAAATTAATTGGTAATCACACTTTGTAGGGTCGTTATTGGAAGATTATATCCAGACACTTTTCTCAAAAAAGGGTTAAACAGACTGAAAATAAGTGATTAAATAATGTTTTTAGTTTCTCTCAGATCCGGCTGCTGGAGAGCCGTTTGCTAGGTCGTGACTGCTGGGAGAGACGTCGGAATGGCAATCATAGAGTAAATCTTGATCATATCACTGACACTTTAGACGAAAGAGTAGGTTCAGCTTCATTTATCGAAACAACATTTCATTGGCGGGAAGATATTAAAACCAAAACTACAATTGCGACAGAACTAATGACCTCTGCTGTTACGGTCTCGGAAACAATAATTAATCATCGTTAGCGCTCCATCGCCGTGAATAACTCATTAATGATTTTATCCAACTTCTGAAAACTCTAGAATAGAATAAGTAATAAAAAACTCGAATAGACTGCATCAGTGACGCAGCCGGAATCGAGTGCGTGAAATGTCTCGTACCTGTTGTATAGACGATACCAAAGCAAGGCGTACGGATAGTATGATTACAAAGATAAAAACGTTATTAATTTTAAATGCTTTAATTACCTGGGATTAATTTGTTCCTACTCCACTTTTCTAAACAAAATAAAATAAAGCGAATTAGAAAGTATTGGCGCACCATGTCTTTTCCTTTATTTCTGGACCGTAAGTATGGAGCAGTTGTAATATTCCTGTAAAAAAACACACTCTTTTAACCATTATAGTTTCTAATGATCACAGTTTGACGGATTCATACAAAGAGTCTTCTAAAAATAGTTTTCCCGGGTTTCTTCATGGCCTCTTTTCATTTGAAGGTGACCGTTAGTTCGAGTTTTCAACGCGGCGGCGCCCTGTGCAGTGGAACGCGCGTTGGGTCTTCGCGCCCTCTTCAATAATGGATGCAGCTCCACACGGAACTCCGCCAGATTAACGCTGTAAAGGAGGTGTCAATATTGCATGGCAGTGAGACGGTGATCACCTCAAATCTTCTACGTGTAAACGCCTAATCCTACCCTGGGCCTGGATCTAAAATTTTCGGCGATTTATTAACATTAATTTTTCCTGTGTTCAGGTATTGATTACTTGGGTCTACCTTAGTATTATTTAATAAATGTTTTATTTTCCAGATGATAAAACTGTTTTCGACTATAAAGTACAGACATAAAGTTATTTATAATTTGTAGAAGTGTTAATAGTCGTTTGTCATTGATAATTGCATCCGATAACCCATCGTCTGCAATTTAACTGATTTCCATATCCAGTGTGTTGCTCACCTACTAAAATACGGTTCGGATGCCACCTCGTACTGAAATTTGTTTTCAAAAGCAGTTTTTTATTTAGAGAACCACATAATTTATGTGATATAAATCTTTTCATAAAAGAGCCAGTTGAAAGGTCTTGCTCAGTGCATCGTTTGTTTCACCAGACATCTTGCATATTATAAAATACACTCTCCGGACACGTGAAATGAATATATTGTCACTCGATCGTCTTTAAGCAAGTTAAAAGAAAGGAATAAAGTAAATTCGCTAGCATGAGTTCCAAGAACAAGTTGTACCATCTGAAGCAAACCCCGTGGAAATAACTTGAAAACTCCTGGTTCTATTATACCTAACAACATTCTCTGTGTTATTACCATTGTGGAGATTGCGTTTCCCGGAATTCGCAGTGGGAGACCAGTGTTCAAAGCTGGTAATTCTCTCCTACGCTCCGAGCCATGAGCAACTCGTGTCCTCGATCCGTTATTCCACGAAGAGAGGAGCGGAGAACTAACCAAGTGATGGCGCTGTTCTTATTCGCTTTTCTTTGGCCAGAGCTCGCCTCTGGGTGCAAATGTGATGATGGTTAACAAACACACTTCGCACCACCCGCGTCGGGTTTCCTCGTACGGGGTTTGCCGGAGAACATTGCTACTCCGTTTTCATGACTGATGATGTACTGCGATGTACTAATCCGGCTGACACGATTCACAGAAGTAGAAGAAGATATTTTAATTCAGTAAAAAAGTATTTGCTTGATTCCAGATAGGGCTAAGCACATCTTCATTAGCCATGTGGCTAAAATGAGTAACAGCTGCGCTGAGTAAGTGAAACAATTAAATGTTTGAATATTATGGCCCGTATAAGACTATGGTTTCTCACAGCATCCCACTTCTACTTTCTGGCCACGTTATAGAAAGTCATATATTGCTGCGGGAAAGAAACAACGAATTTTCGGCAGAAAAATCTTATTACAGGGTCCTGGTAACGAAAAAGTGGATAAATTCCGCTGCTAAATCAAGAAATAAAACTTCTAACACTTGGTTTAGCCAGAATCCACGTTTTGCCAGAATCCACGGTCACTGCCACGTTAGCCAGAATCCACGGTCCTTGATACCGACGAATCGAATGATGGCAAAACGTCTGCATTTCTATCCGTCCGTTTTTGAACATCGCTAACTGCTAAAACGTTCAGCCAATTTTCTCCAAAATTGATATTCCGTAATCGATCTGGTTGATATCGGGGCCCCTTGAATTTAAAATCGATAATTTAATTTTTTGGGGGTGTACTTTACATTAAGCCCGTGAGTCATTTAAAAAAAAGTGCCTTCATCGTTTTTCATTAAAATTTTTTGTTGGATAGTACGAATGACGTTTAAGAGAATGGTGTAGATCTCATGTTAGTTGAAAACTCTGATTTTTCGATTATAGTAAAAATTCAAAGTTATTTAGACGTCGTCCTACAACTAAAATATTAAGTATTGAGATCTTTCTATTAATTAATTCTGTTTCTAAAAGATAGAGTTTTAAATAAATTTACGTACAATTATTCGAAAATTAGTGTATTTTCCGCATGTGTGAAAGTCTTTACGAGGAAGTACGTGTTACTTTAGCACCACTAGTTTACATAAAGTTCCAATTTTGCCTTTGAATATTACAAAACAAGCACACACGGTCGAATGTCAACTTTTAATATTTCTCCCTCTCCGGACCCCCAACGCACCCGTGAGTTGTGTTGTTGTTGTTGTTGTTGCTGTTGTTGTTGTTGTTGTTGTTGTTGTTGTTAGTATTTGGCTCTTAATTCAAGTTGTTGTCTGCTCTGCTGCGAGTGTCGCATTACTACACCCTCCTCCTTTCCCAACGGCGCGGCGCAGGCGCGAGCGACATTTTATCCAGTTAATATTTTGGGGATTCCGCCTGGCGCCGGAATTCGAGTGGAGCACCGTCACCTGCACCGCGCCACGTGCCGCGTCGCGTCGCGTCGCTTCGCGCGCCTGCAAGGGGAGCTGCAAGGGTATTCGCGTTTCCTCGTCATCGCATTCTTCAAGCGCTCCCGCACCAGCTCGCCTCCCAGCGTCGCTCACGCGCACGCGCCATGCGGTTCAAAAAAGCACCATTGAAAAACAAATTCAACATATCTCACATTTGTTGAATCAATTGTATAATTTGACAATGCGTTTCAAAAAACAAAAAACAATTGAAAAACAAATTCAACATATCTCACATTTGTTGAATCAGTTGTATAATTTGACTATGCGTTTCAAAAAACAAAAAAATAATTGAAAAGCAAATTCAACATATCTCGCATTTGTTGAATCAATTGTGTAATTTGACCATGCGTTTCAAAACACAAAAATAATTGAAAAGCAAATTCAACATATCTCACATTTGTTGAATCAATTGTGTAATTTGACCATGCGTTTCAAAAAACAAAAAAACAATTGAAAAACAAATTCAACATATCTCACATTTGTTGAATCAATTGTATAATTTGACCATGCGTTTCAAAACACAAAAAATAATCAAAAACAATTCAACATATCTTACAATTGTTGAATCACTTGGGTAATTTTAAATTTTGCCGCAATGAAATATAATATACCGCATACTGTAGTATGTGGTAATAGGATTTTTGCTGTTTTTTCTTGTGGTATTCATGATGGGAAACTTTTCACTTTTCCTTTGCAAGTATATCGTCATAGTGTAGTTGAATTAATGTTGCACTACTGTGAACGACAGAAAAATGAAATTCAAACGCCACTTCTGGAAGGATTTATTGTGTTATGCGAACGCATATAATAGTGATGTATTTGAAAATTCCCCATGCACGAGTGGTATTTAATATAAGAACTTACTATGCACGAATAGTGATATTGAGTACGTACGTACTATAATCCAATCTCACTATCGTAAGAACACATAAATGACACTGTAAATTACACTGAGGCGAAAATTGAATTTTTTGCTGATTAAAGGTGGGTTCTCAAAGTTTGTGACTTTACTAACTTCTAGTTATGATGGAAAGAAGACAATTATGTAACGTTTAAACATAATCATGCTTTATTTAATTGTAGTTTTCAATCTTTTCACAACATTCCCACGCCTTTAAATAGAATTATCCGATGTTTTGTTCGCAGAATGGTCAAACATTGCTTCTTTCCCTCACTGTCACAAGAATTTTTTTTCTATAAAGGTTTTTCTTTAATGTTGAGAAGATGTAGTACTTACTAGGTGTCGAATCTGAACTGTAGGTGAATGGTCCAACACCTAGAAGTCATAGTCTCTCCAGAACTCTTCGCAATCTGAGTGATTTTTGTAAAGACGCCAAACACCATGAGATTTCGCACACCCCTTCCCACTCGGGCCCCACCTCTCTTTACAACGCTGATTAAGATGACTTTGGCAAACATAGCTTGCATCAATAAAAGATAAGGGTACTGTTCGGAAAGTTTCCCCATTGTGGAATGTTCTCTTACTTACAGAACCCACCGGAAACTCGTAGGCACACGTACACTGGGCCGTGCCTTGTTTCTTGGCATCGGTCACTCAGCGCTGGAATGAAATAAACCCAATAATGTTTCGTGTCGTGCCCGACTCGCCCCTGTGTAGCACGGGGTGCCCGTCTGGCAGGCACCCTAGGCGACCTTCTCCAACCCTGTCATCGCGCTGCCCCCACCCCTGTCGACCTGCCTCCCCCTGCCCCCTGCCTCCCGCCGCCCCCCCACGACGCCGCCACGCTCGCCGCCACGCTGCCGCCACGCTCGCCGCCACGCTCGCCGCCACGCTCGCCGCCACGCTGCGCACGCTCGCCACGCTCGCCGGCCACGCCGCCGCCACGCTCGCCGCCACGCCGCGCCGCTCCCGATACCCCCCCCGTACCGCAGCAAAACCCGCTGCAATCCCCCGCCTCCCCGCCCCCGTCTCCGACGCTACCGCCCCCTCCACTGCTCCCGCTGCCGCCTCCGCCGTTGCCCTCCCTGCCCGTAAATCACGAGTCTCGGCGCCGTGCCTCGCCACGTCAGCAGCGCAGCCCCGCGCGGCAGGTGCGGCGCCTCGACGGCAGAGGGCGACACCGCCCCACGCGGAGGGCGATTGCATCTGCGACGAGGAGACGCTGGCTGCCGCTGAAGTGGGGGCGGCGGGGCTAATGAAGTTTACGGAGAACAACATTAGCGACCGAAACGTGTGATCAAAGCGCAATCGTTTGGCGCCATCTGAACATAAGTTACTGGCAATCGAAGTCGGAGTGTAATTGGGACCGAAACGTCTTGTTTTATTTTATCATTAATATTTATGGTTACTCATAACATTTGAGACTATCTTACCGATAGACAATGATGTGTTTATTGGTTTCGAGTTCATTGTAGATTGTGCTGCATCGTGTGGTGAAAACAATATACAAGAATCTTACGCGATATTCTAATTGAAATTCTTGATTCAAGAAAAGAAATGACGAGTATTGTAAATACTATTGTTATAAGTAACACAATTTTTCAATATTTCACGTAAATAATAATATATTTATTTATATTTGAGGTTAATTTTACAAAATTTAAATAATAGGTAGTGACATTATTTAATGTGATCAAGAATCCAGCTTTGTATATTTTTAATTTTCTTGTTAGAAATTGAAACATTTTGAAAATGTATAACAATGTATTCGGTTTAGCAGAAGTGAATTCGTCCATATTCTCCTAGTTTTGAACATGCGATAAACTGGACTGTAATGCAATTACACTTTTTTGTTACCCTTTGCAAACTTCTTTTTTGTTCCTACCAGACTTTCACACTTTCTAAACATCTTTAAACAAATTTAAACAATAACCTAAAAGTTGACTAAGAGGAAAATAAGTAAACCCTAGAGAAAGTGCAATAAATTTACAAGGCTAACTTG